TGTCATTGTCATTGTCATTGTCATTGTCATTGTCATTGTCATTGTCATTGTCATTGTCATTGTCATTGTCATTGTCATTGTCATTACAATTGGCATTTTTACTATTAATCACGATTTAAATAAACTCAAAATTATTCAAATGTATTCATATGAAATATAAAGATATTTCCGCTTTCAAGGCAGACTCGCAATAGACCCTGCCAAACATTGAAATTTGTTCATTTTTTTCTCTTTTAGAAATATTCTCTTATCTGAATCGAATAGATAGCAAATTTGAAAGTTTTGTCGCCTGCGGCACAGCTCAGGATCAGCTCAGCTCAGCTCAGCTCTGCTTGTTGGGCAATGTTCAGATAGGAAGCGTATAACTCGAGTGAGTGCTCAGCGATTCGTTGTAGTTGTTATATGAGTGTAAGTATTTGTAGCTACAGAATCATGAATGCAAGTGTGTGTGTGTGTGTGTGTGTGGGAATGTTATGCTTTGGCCATGTGCAGAATTTTTCGTATTGACTTTTTCAGGTCAAAAAGGCGGCTGTGAGCTTTACATTTGCATAACTACTTAAAAATACACACATATCGAATCATGTGTGTGTGTGGTTGTGTGTGTGTATCTCAGCGTTAAATAAATAGCACTCATACGCAGCGTAATCATCAGATCTGCCACATAGGCTGAAACATTTGATTTTGCTCTTCTTTTTCTCTTTTTTTGCGACGTCCAGTCAAAGTTCAGGGCTGATAATTTATGCAGCCACGCCCCGCCTGTACAGAGCCGCCCCCATTAGCATTAATTTCGTCGGGTCACGTAGGGCACTGAGCAGTCGGCAGCAAGTGGAGCACTGCTGATGACAGACCGACAGCGTTTGAAATGTAATTTTCATTTGGCAACTTGACACACGGACAGACGGACAAACAGATGGGAGATGGGGGGGATGGATGGAGAGAGGCAAATTGAATGCCACAGACATTTGGCCTTAGCATTTGTTTTATTGTAATTGCAAGTTTCAGCAATTAGCAGGAGGCACAACGAGGCACATTTGCCGCCGCGCCTAAAAGCTGGCAACAAGTTTTTCGCTCTTTGCGCTCGCTTTTTGTGCTCTTTTTAACCCCGTTTCGCATGGAATGCAATTGTAATGAAATATTACTATATTTAAGAGCTCGCAAATGGTCGACGCCAAACAGAACGCACAGAGGGCAAAATATATTCCCGGAATTACAACTAGAGTTTTTCTGACTAGTCGAATTCCAGCTTTGAAATCATTTCGTATAACAAACAAAACAATTTCGCGAATTTGATGCGCAAAAAATGCTGAAAAGAAATTTTAATTTGGCATAGCTGGAACGCACAACAGAATGTTTAAAATTAGAAAAAACCTAAGAAATATATGAAAATGAGGGAAATTCTTGAAAACAAAAGTTGGAAAAGTGAGAATTGATTTGTGGAACGAGTGGGGGCATATTGTCTACTAAAATGTCAGTTCCTGTCATTCATTACATTAACTACATGCCATAAGCATGCTATTTATATAGTATTTTTAATTGCTTTAACTAAGCTGATTAAAAATAAATAAATTTGCTATATTAAGTGTGGAAAATTTTATTTTTTTCATATGATATTGACTTTAATTGCCTAAGTATTTTTAATGCAGCTAAAAATATAACAAGAGCAGCACAAGTTGAGTCTAGCCATAGCAGGCAGTACGCTGAACGACTACGATATACCCTGTATTCAATTAATATACAATATACAAGGGATTTTTTATTCATATGAATTTATTAAACATATATTACAAATAAAAAAAACTTTTTAAATAAAAATAAAAATATTAAAAAATATAAGAAATCTTATACTTATCAAAAAGATTAATCCTTAATACTTATCAGCTGCTAAAGCTGTCGCAAGCACATCCTCAAGTCATATACATATTGTATACACATATACGGGGTATATGTATACCTCATCATATACACAAGAACAAGAAGACGAAGAAGAAGAGAAATCTGTTGTCATGATTATCTATCGCATTATTACGTGAGCTGTGTGGGCGTGTCTGGAACAACATTTAGTTGGCCTCAACTGCAATAGACATAAATCAATGACAATCAAAATTCATTTCGCCTGCGTTGATTTATTGCGTTTGTTTGATTTGGCTACAGCCAGACAGACAAAGACCGTAGAGGTACAGTTAGATGGTCTACTGGTATATCTGAGGGATTCCATCTAGATTCTTTTTATCGGCAATGCATATTAATGCGAGTCGTGCAGCTCTGACAATGCGGGGCTCAGCTTTTTGCTTGTTCTTTGTGATTTCTGCTCTCTCTTTCTTTTTTTTTTTTTTTATAAATATTAAATGTGTACACACTGTAAACGTAGTAGGGGCGGGGGTGTTGGCGAGGCGGGGGTATTGGGTAACCTTTTCTGCCGAATCATCAATCAATCAAACGCGTGTGATTTGCTACAGTTCAAATTTCGCTCTCAGTTCAATCGCTGAGCCATTCAAGCTGAAATACAAATATTTGCTTTTTTTCCCCGAAATACAAAAAGCGTCTAGGTGAGGGCGACACAGCCAACTCAGCCCAGTGGGGGGGCGTGGCACGGCACCTTTTTGGATAGCTCAAGTGATGTGCCAGGTCGAGAGCTTAAGCCCTCGTCTGTCCGCTTGTTCGTTCGCCCGACTGACATGGCTTACAAATGAAGGCATCCACAGAGCAGACGAGGGAGCGGGAGGAGCAGCAGCCGGGGCAACGCGACCCTTGGCATAGAAGGGTTAAAAAATGTGAAGGCAACTACTCCAGCAGCAGCAGCAGCAGCAGCTGCTACACTTCTGACTGGCTAATCTGCTATGCGATGTGCAGGAGACCTGTTACACGGCCCGGGTCGAGTCCGGCCAGAGGCCAAGTATCCAGGACAACGGCCTACCACCTGCCCAACTAACCCAACTAATAAGACTCTGTGCAATTAAATACAAAAATCTGGCTCAAGGCTCAAGAGCACGAAGAAGCAGAGCGGGTAGAAAACAAAAGTAAGACAAATGATAAATATACTTGAAAATATATACATGGTAAAAGTATAAGTTGGTATTCTTTTCGCAGCCTATACATATTATGTATGTATGTACATACATACTTATACTTTCATAACAATCAAAATACAGACATGGAAATTACAGAATATGTTAGAAGACATAGACAAAACTAAGGAACTATAGCACTCACACTCACTCTATGTCTCTCTCTCTTTCTCTCAGTCACTCACACTCCTTCTCTCACTCATTCACACTCACTCTATCTCTGTCTCTCTCTCTCTCTCTCTCTCTCACTCTCTCTCTCTCGTTCTCTCACTCACTCACACTCCTCTCACTCATTCACACTCACTCTATCTCTCTCTATCTCGTTCTCTCACTCACTCACACTCCTTCCCTCACTCACTCATACTCACTCTATCTCTCTCTCTCTCTATCTCGTTCTCTCACTCTCTCTCTCTCTCATTCACATACACTCTTTCTCTCTCTCTCTCCCTCTCCCTCTCCCTCTCTATACTATAGATTTACTTTAAATTAACTCAGTTTCACCCAATGTTTTCATATACACTCTCACTTTTCCGCTTGAAAACTTGAAGAAAATTTCCATTTACTTTGTATGCACATAAAACGAAACTCTGTTTTTGTTCGCTTTAAGTGCAGACACAATTTCTGTCAGTGTAGATTGTCAATCGACTGCAATTACCTGCGACGTCTCTGTTGGGGCTTGGCTGGCTTTCAGCTTTCTGCTTCCGGCTGAGCATGGCTTGAGCTTGAAGTGCTTCGGCTGTCATCCGATCTGGGCTGGCTTTTGGGCCAGCTGCTTGACTTGTTGCCAAAACAATTTGTGTTGGCATTTTGGCCAACAATATTTCGTGCACAATTGGAAATTGTGCAATTGCATTTGGCCAGCGGGCAGAGCCAGAGCCACTCACCAAATCTGAGGACTCGAAGTGCTTCACCAGCTGTTGCTGCTGCCACTCCTGCTGCTTCTGCTACTCCTGCTGCGACTTTAGCATATTTATTCAATATTAAAATGGCCAACAGTTAAATTGTAAATAAGTTTCGACTCGGCCTGCCAGCTGCTGCAATAATTGCGAGGCTGCCCGCCTCAAACTTTAATGAGAGAGGCCGCATCAAGCGGAAGTGGCAGGACAATGCGACAATGGCCCAAACGACAGCGACGCATAAATCCTTGAAGTGTTCACTTGGCTTCGTTCCTCTTCGTCTTCCTCTTCCAGTTACAGTTTCGCTTCTTGTTCGGCTCCTGCTTCTCTCTGTCTTCCGCCTTCCCCCCCTTGTGCTCGTTGCAACTGCCTCAAGTGCATTTGCTAATGACAAAGTCAAACTGGCGCGCTAGAACGAGTTTAGCAAACTTCAGCAGCCGCCGCACAGTGGCACAAGTGCTGAGAATAACGAGTTGTAAATACATAGCAATTGGCAAATGTATATAATTATATATTACAACTGAATATTTTAGGTTTCTAATTACCGATTCATCAGAGAGCAAACCTCTTAAAATGTTTCGCGAAAATCTATTTTTTTATAAGGTTTTTATTTTTTAATAAATTAAAATATGTTTTGAAATGTGTTAATACAATAAAATGGGTAAAAAATAAAAATAATCTCCTTGTGCAAGTATCAATTATTATCGTTTAATATATACCAAGTTTTTTATAATATATATAATATATTAAATATGCTGAAAATATATATATATATATATTTTTTTTTTTTTCTTTTATGTAGGGGGGAAAATAAATGTATGCATATATCTAGAAATTACATGTAGAATAAATATTACACAAAAAATATATACTAACCATAATATTATATATATACAAATTAGATCTATGTACCGTACTCCCCTGAAGAACATATTCACTAATATTTTCTTTATTATTTATTTGTTTATTATTTCATATTTACAATTTGTTTGATAACTTGACATATTTACAATACAATTTTATATTTTGTAGTATACCATAAATTCCAGCTTTAGTATATTTAGAGCAAACCGTCTTCCTCTGCCCGTTTCACTCTTTAGAAAATCGTAATCCTTTTCGCTTGCTGCGTTCCACTGTGCAGTGTGTTGCGTTTAGTGTAGCATGCTTTTCAGCGCGACAGACAAGGCGCCTTTTCCGCTACCGTTACCGTTGCTCGTCTGTCTGTCCGTCCGCCTGACTGGTGCTGTTACTTGTTTGTCACGGCATCGGGGTGTGCGTGTGTGCGTGTGCTTGTGTATTTATGTGTGCGTGCAATTTACGCGTCCAGCGTCAAGTGGCAGCCGTGGCATGCCACAAGCTGCAGGCGCCCGGCGCATTGCCATTGTGACCAGTTGCCAGTTGGCTGAGGCAATAGGCGCATAGTCATGCAACTTTACTCAGTGTGCGAGTATGCGTGTGTGTGAGTGTGAGTGTTTGTGTGTGTCTTGTTTGACGGCAAGTGTTGAAAACATGTTAATTCCTAACATTAACAACAACAACAACAACAACAACAACAACAACAACAATAGTAATAGCAATTGAAATGAACAAGAGCAGCAGCAGCAACAATAAGGACAAGAACAAGCCAACCAGACGTCAGCTCGACTGCTCCAGTTGCGACAAGCGACAGGCGACAACGGCATTTGCCTCCGCCCAGAACGGAAGTCGTGCGTTTACCCGGCCCCCGGCACAGCCCCTGTGATGAGGCCCCTTCTTAAGTAGGCGCTTAATAAACAAAAAAAAAGGAGAGCACAAATTTGTAGCCGCCAAAAGCTGTGCGCGGAAGTATTTGTCATGATATTTATCGCATAAGCCATTTCTCTTGAGTAGGCGACGGCCTCAGCCAACGGAAAATTGTGAAAATTTAATTGAAAACGTTGCCGGCTGCAGGCGGGGGGGTGGGCGTGGCGGCGTATTGCCGCACAGCAGCAGCTCATCAAATATTAACGTTTTTCGCCTTTTTTTCTTCTGTTTTGCATCGACGCAGCTGCGGCCAATGCCGAGGGAAGCTTAAAAATATTTTTAAACAAATAAACAAAAATATGAAAAATAAATAAAATACTTTAAATAATTTGAAATTGCTCATCGATTTTACATATATTTATATGTTTTTGATTTTACTAAAGTCTCATGTGCATTAACCGTATACGGGGGACTATGGGTTGGCCAAATAAATTGAATTCTGATTTTTTTATTTGCAACATTGCATTTTTATAAATACAAAAAATTGTTTATTTTGCATTCACAAAATAAAAATGCAGTAAATAAAATCAACAACTAAACAGTTAGTTACTACTAAAAAAAAAAAAATATATATATATATATAGACAAAACTAATTATTTACACATATCGATTTTTATCGATTAAAATATTTCATAATTTTTATTTTAATTTTATTTTTATTTTTTTAATTTAGTTTGTATAAATTTGCAAAGAATATCAAACAAAATAATATAAGAAAATTTGTTAAAATTAAATGAAGTATTTTTTCAATTCAGTTTTCAGAGTAGAATGCCCCTGTTATTTATTGCTAGGCTTTTGCTTTCTTGTTGTGCTTCGTTCAGCTCTCGCTGGCTGAGCCTCACTTGGTTCTTTTCTGGCTGGGAGGCATCCACCTTTTCATTTGTTTCTTTTTTTAGTGCCGTATTTTATTTTCCATATTTTTTTTATACTTTTCACATGGCTTTGTAAATTTTTTATCGGCCAACAAACGATGCCTGCATTTAATTTAAAAATCACAGTTGAAGCGCTATATCAAATTAAATATTCCAATTTATGCCCAAAGGAAACAAAAAAAAAAAACAAGCAAAAAAATCGATATAAAATTATATCAACTTTAATGCACGTAAATTTTTAATTAAAAAAAAATTTAATAAAATGAAGAGGGATGGAAGGATAAAATATAACAGAGCCACACTGTATCTCAAGCACATAATCCTTTTTAATGGAACGAAAGATAAAAAAAAAGAGAAGCAAATAACGAGGGAACAGTACAGGAAAAAAAACTGACGACGGCCGCAAATTAATTTGTTTATTTAGGCGACATTTTCTTTTTTTTATCAGCGGCGCTGCTTTTGCTGACACTTTAAACAACTTTGGCCACGCTTTAAAATAAAATATGAAACGAACTTGTGCATTAAATGCTGCCGACCCGTATAATAACATTTACCAGCACTTAGTTTACACATAACCTCAGCAAAAGTAGTGCCCCTGGAAGGAGGCAAGCGATGAGGTGGGCAGTGGGGCAGAACTGAAAATTTGCATGCAAAATATGCGCGAGTTGTCGAGCAGTTGCTGCAGAGCAGGGCGAAAAAAATACACATATTACGGGCAATGACAGCTTAACTCAAAAGGACGAAGCTCAAATACACTTTGTGGCAATATGGAAAGATGAGAGAACTCCTGAGATATTAAGAAACTCTAAACCGTAGAGTAAAAAACGTAACTAGTTTAAGAGCAACAGTTATTTATGGGAATAATTAAGCTAATAGTTGTTACCTGAAAATCAAAATCAAAATTTGTAATTTTACTTTTAATATATTATTATATTATAGCATATTATATTATTGCCATCATCATATATTACTACTGCATATAAATATATATTTTGCTGTATACTTTTGGCAGTCCCTGACAAATCGTCGGCACCCATCGTAAGGGTATTCTGTAAGAAAAAAAGCAAATCTGCTGAAATTGCAAATGACAAGTTTTGCACTAAGCAGCAGTACAAATAGACGAGCAGCGAGGCTTGTCAGGCGAAGGCGGCCAGTGGGCGTGGCGGTTGGCTTTGTCGTGTACAAGTGTGTCTGTGTGCGAGCGAGAGGGCAGCATGACAGCTGCATTGACACACTTACTGCATGATGAAGCAAAATGAGTGACAAACTGACTGCAGCACGTTGCGAGCTGCTTATTAAGCGCTGCAGCATCCGCTGTGGCAGTCGTCTCCGCCGCTGTGTGCCACATTCGTGCAGCGACCCACAAACCGACTTGTCCAAAAATATATTGTGCACACAAATGAGCCCAAAAATAGCGCTGCAAACTCCAAGTGAAGTTAATAAATGGATTACTTGGATTTTGAGGCGCCCGAAAGTCAGTGCCTCCGCACACCCAAATCAATGTCAACGTCTGCTGTTTTTTCCTGCTGCTGCTGCTATTCCCCAAGGCTGGGTGGGGCCTGCCACACGTGCCTGGAGTTGATAAAGTTGCCGCGTTAACAGCCGTAAAACTTGCCACACGCAAAGGGTTTAGACGCACCGCTGAGGCTCCTTGCCGCAGGTCAAGCGCTGGAAAGAAATCGTAAACTTGTTCAATTATTCTATTACATTGCTATTGCGAGGCTAGTTTGTCAGAGAAGCAAAACAAAATATCTCTGTATATATTCAACTCTTCCTTCCCTTCTCAGAAATTGCAAATTGTTAGGTTTATCGTTGCCTTTGCTGCAGTTGTATTAAAAATCACAGAAAACGCGCGCTGACATAGAAATGATTGTCATTAATTTGCCAACGAATCCAAAGGGAAAG